CTAAAATATCCCACTATCTCGCAACAGCCGTAGGAACAATCTACAAAATGGTTGTATCTTCGTGTTCAATTGTCTCTTTCGACAAAAACTCGGGCTGCAATCAAGGATCTGCTGCAAGCCCTCATCTAGTAGCCAAACGACGGTTATCTAATGCATATCCTTGATGTTCATGATGCAGTATACTCTTTTCACCTTTGCCCAACTGTTGCCATATTTGGGCCTTTCCCTCCATACATACTACTTCATCCTCTCATCGAATTGAAAATCAACAAGGACATCGTCAAACTCCTCTGTGGCCATTCTTTTCCGCTTGCCTCCCCTTGTTGCACCTCCACCATTGACCTTTTTCATTAATGTCTCATATGTACTTACTAGGCTTTGGCCAAAGGACGCATCAGTGATGACACACTGCTGATGCAAAATATCACCATTAGTGCTCTGTTGCAACCTATAGGTGCCAATACCTCATCAATGAGCTACATCAGATCAAAACAACATGATAAGTGTCTATTTAAACACTGTAGAACTATTTTTTCTTAAGCGATCTGTTTTATTTTAACAGATCGCTTAAGCGACCTTCCAAAAAAAAAACAGATCACTTAAGCGATTCAGTATAAAATACCTCATGAAAAACATAAGCAAAAATAAGGGAAACTATGGGAAAAATAAATCATCGAATCATCGAGCCACCTGCCCATTGTCAACATCTTTTCAAACCACTCGCGGGGATAATCCTTGGTCTTGCACTTCACACAACCATCACTTCCTTTTTCATTGTAATAGGCATAAAATAGTTTTTTCTTTTCCTTATCTATTGGCCTATACAAATCAACCTTTAACTCCTCCGTTTTCACTTTCCCACTTCCTCCGCCTTCCTCCTCACCCTCTTCCATTTTCACTTCCCCACTTCCTCTGCCTTCCTCCTCAGCCTCCTCCATTTTCGCTCCTCCACTTTCACGGACTTCCTCATTTTTTTCTTCGTTCTCCTTTTCTTTCCATATGTTACTACCATGTAAGGAGGTTTTACGTGCTTACTCTTTCGGCTCTCTCTTCTATGTTGAGGTTGCACTTCAACCACTTTCAATACCCCAACAACTTCCTCCTCCACCTTATCAAATTTCTCCTCCACCTTTTTCATCCAGTCTTCCATCTTCTCAAACCTCTCATAAACGGCAATTGTAAAACTATTAAAGAGACTGTTTATGAGGTCAACCACCTCATTCTCCTGAAGCCTCAGCAAATCGGTACTTGCTGTACAGGTTTGCCAATTGGTGGAAGCGTACGAACATCTTCATCCTCCTCCGATGCTCAAGCAATGACCCTGCAACTGTAGTCAAATGCATGACTCCTTTTAGGCCTTGCATTAGGCGGTCTATCCCTTTATCTATTACATCGTCTAGTGGTGCGAACGATGTAACATACTCTGCTCCCAATTCACCTCTAGTAGGGGTCAGGAAGGGATAGACAACTTCTTGCAGTAAGAAAAAAATTCAATCAAATTTAAGCCATATTTAAAAGCAAGTGCATATTGAAAAGATTTATCCTTTAATCTTACCTGAGCCGCTTGAATTACCATTTCTATTTTGTCATGGTCCCAATGGGCACACTTCTCGGTGTGCCACCGCAACATCATAGGAAATTGTGGTGGCTCATTTGAAGTCTCCTTCCACTCCCCCGCCTTAGCAGGACAGGGATGACTTCGTACATCCAAGCCTACATTTAAAAGCACATCCAAATTTAAGCCACATTTAAAAGCAAGTGCATATTCAAAAGATTTATCCTTTAATCTTACTAGAGCCGTTTGAATTTCCATTTCTATTTTGTCATGGTCCCTATGGGCACAATTCTCGGTGTGCCACCGCAACATCCTAGAAAATTATGGTGGCTCATCTGAAGTCTCCTTCCACTCCCTCACCTTAGCCAGAATAGGGATGACCTCATACATTCAAGCCTATATTATGGAAAAAAAATAGTCCATATCATAATTAAAACACATACAGTAAAACCTTTCTATAGGAATAAACTCTACATAGTAATAAAAAATTATATTCCCAATTTAGGATAGTTATAAATAAGAATATACTCCACATTGTAATAAGTTATAATTTTTCTAATTCCCGTCTTAAGGAAAGTTGCCTCTATATAGTAATAATTATCTGTATATTGCAAAAAAAAAAAAATATGATATGTTACACTAAAGGTTTAAGATGAAATAAAATATTTATTTGAAGTTGTTTGGGACAATAATTTATGTTTTAGAGTTGTTATTACATCTTTTAACTTACGGGTGCGTTACTCGCTAGCATAAACATTTTCTTGTTAAAGCCAAAACATTTCTAGCTTCTCAAGCATGTTTAGAGCTTCTTGACATGAAACTTTTTGTATTTCCATACTATCATCTTCATAATTATTTCCTTTCTCTTTTTGTTTAATTGTAGAAATGATTTTTTCTTTTGTTAAAACATACATGACTTGTTACTCATTTGGATGATTAAGGAAGACATTAATATTCATTCGATTAGTGTAGTGAAGTTGTCGAATTTGATCACTCAATTCTACAATGACTTCTTGATTCTCCTCATCCACTTCATTTGTAACTTGCAATTCATCGACATCGAGGGTCCTAATTTTGTAATGCTTAAAACAATTGGCAATTGTCTGTGACTTCACATCAGTTGCCATGCAGCAACTGCATTTACAATTTCATCAATGACAATTATCTTTGTTGTTTTCAAAATACGATCTTTTATCCGTTTCAAAAGTAGGCAATTAAAACACTGAATTGAAACCCCAATATTATTAAAACATGAATTAAAATCATAATATTGTACTACTAAAACATGAATTATGAAATAAGAAATTTTTTTAACTACACCCCTATTAAGTTATAACCTCCTCATAGTAATAAAATTAGTTAGTCCCACCATTATGACTATAGAGAGGATTTACTGTATAATACAAAAAATATAACAAAAAGCTATTAATATTTACCTGCATTGCCCATGGGAAGCCACAAAAATTGTAAGTGCTCGATCTCTCATTCTCAACATATTGGCAGTGCTTTATCGCCATGTCTTTTCCGTGTAGGGAATCAATGGTTAACTAAAACGATAACCTTCCCTACGGATAAGTATTAAAGAACTCCTGGTTGCTTGCAAACCGCACCCAATCCATATAAATGGCTTTTGTTGGGTCACAAGCCATTAGGATGGAATGCAAAAACCATACTAGGCATATCTTAAACTTCTTCGAAGAGGTATACTCTTCTTCTCCTTACCTCTCCTTTAAATCATGTGCCGTAATAGACACCTGCCCCCTCAAAATCTTTCAAACAAAGTTTTCAGCTGCCCTACTCTTTTTCATTCTTTCTTCCTCTTTCGCTTTTAGAAATGCCCCACATCTTAGGCTTGTCATTAAGGCAAATTCCATCATCCTAAAACGTAATGACTTCCCATCCACCACGAACCACATTTCATTTCTTTTTTTGCTTTTAATTGAGTGCAGCAACATACAATGTGCTGCCTGCCCCAGGACGCCTTTTTCCAATTGTCTCTTATGTCCGCAAAATGACTGAAACAATTATCTTTGAATCGGTCCATATCCCTTTTTTGTTCACCTAAAATCTCATTTATTCTCATAAACACTTGCCAATTCGACCTAATCGTCACCCTTACGGGGAAGTATGATATCCCATCGATTACAAACTCTAACCCATAGACTTTATAATTTATGCTTTAGAAACATTGCACAATCGATATAAACTAAATATCAGCAAAAAAAGAAACCGAAACAACCAATAGGTTGCCAATCTAGGGGATATGGGGTTTGAGGGCATCGAGGAGTAGGTGTTTTTGGCTTCGAGAAGACCAGGGAAGCCAATGCAAGCCCTATAGAGGCTGTTGTGGCAAGTATGATGGCTAGAGATTGCTGGGGATGGCAGGAGGGGGTGGAATAGGGGGGCTACCCTACATATTGCAGGGCTGGCCATAGGCAGTGTGCGTGCAATTGTGCGTGGCCAGTCCTACAATATGCAGGGCAGCCCCCCAGCCCCTCTATTCCGCCCCATCCTGCCATCCCTAGCCCTCCAACCTCCCACAAACAACCTCTCTACGACCTCCCATGCCTTCTCCCATCCTTTGGAACCCAAACAAAGGCACTCCCCCGATACTCGGCAACTGCTCGACAAAATGCCACAACCACCCTAACAATCAAAACCAATTAAATATCCCCCAAATTCACACCAACAAATAATTTTTTCATCAAATGGTAAGAAATGTACCTTTTCTTCATCTTCCTCCTCCTCCTCCTCCTCCTCGCTTGAATTTGCGCCAATGTCCTCCTTTTCAGAACCATTTACAGATTTTTCTGTCTGTTCTTGTGCCGCCGTCATGTCCTTTGCCCCTGGACCACTTTCACTCATCAGAAGATCCACCAGAGTATCTTCTTCGACAACCTTAAAACAGCCGTCGACGTTGGACTCTAGAATTTGGAGTAGAGCTAGGTTTTCCTCTGATTTGTAATGCCATCCTTGGTTTTTTGTGTAACTAACAGGGAAATGAAGATTAAAGACCAAAGATTTGCCAGAAATTGAGAACTTTAATCGTCGAAAATCGCAAGAGAGATGGGGTGTTTCGCCGGTCGCTTTTTTTGAGTGGCCTCCTTCGATTAATCGATTTTGAAATGGGGCGGTCGTTTTTTAATTTTCAAAATTTAAACAAATTTCCATTAATTAACTATTACCCATATACGTTTCAATCATTTCACTCTAACCCTTTTTTTCGCATGTTTAGTTATTCTTAAGTGTGCTACGTCAGTTTTTCAAAGTTAACAAAAAATGCAAAATTTTTTCTTAAATGCAAACTTGGGAGGTCTATCCAGTTAAATTTCCTCATATTACAAAGTAAAAGTTCATAGATAAGCATGCCAAAATGCATAAAACAACAAAACATATAGCATGAAGGTCATTTTAGTCATTTGAAATCTCCACATTAGACCATACTCTGGCTGGGCGGGAAAATCCCTCGATCAAAATCACAAAACCCCCAATTTTGATCACAGCCAAACAAAACCAACCTTTCTCCACTTCCCGCTCTTCGCCATGTCCGGCGTAGGCCGTACAATCAACGTCCTCAACGTGGCGGAGAAGCCTTCAGTGGCGAAGTCGGTGGCCGGAATCCTCTCGCGAAACCAGGGCCTTAGAGTGCGCGAGGGACGGTCGCGCTACAACAAGATATTCGAGTTCAATTACGCGATTCGTGGACAATCCTGTCACATGCTCATGACCTCCGTTACTGGACACCTTATGGAGCTTGAGTTCGAGGATCGTTACCGTAAGTGGCACTCTTGTGACCCCGCTGATCTCTACGAAGCGCCCGTTCGGAAATTTGTCCCCGAGGTACATGCTTTTTTGTAATTTTATTAATTGAGGTAAAATGAATACTCCTGAGTTTTAGGTTAATTACATGTATGCCCTGAAGTTTTGGCCTGATTCGGGAGAAAAGCAGTGGTTCTTTTGGAAATTGCAATGAAATTTGGGAGCGGTTTTGATGAATTTTAGAAAAATATGAGAAGAAGAGGTTTGTGATTATGATGAGATTTAAAAGGGTGTTTCGAATTTATTTATTTATTTATTTTTGTTTGGGGGATTTTTTTTGTTGCTTTATGAATGGGAATATTAAAATTAGAAAAAGGCATGCTGCCATTGATTTTCAGAAAATGTTTGTGGAAAATGAAAAATAAATTTTAAATTTTTGTGCAGGAGATAGGAAAACCGTCATTTTAAGACATTTATTTCTTGAAAACAGATGATGATTTTTCAGCTATATATACATATATTTTAATTTTTAATTTTATTTTAAAAAATTCTCAAAAATATTACTAAGGTATTATGGTAATTAATAGTGTGTATATATATATTTTTTCATTTTTGAAATATTCTACCTTTTTTTTTTTTTTTTTTTTTTTTTTTTTTTTTTTTTTTTTTTTGTTTTTCAGTTTCGAATACTACTGTTTTCAAGAATGATATTAGGAGAGCCTCTCACCATCTGGGAAACATAAAATCGAATTTCCTGTTTCAATTCCTGTTTCAATTTTTTTTTTTATTTTTTTATTTTTCTTTTACAAAAAACCATATTCATAATGTTACCTATTCTTCAATAATACTACTATGCATGCAAAGAATTCATACAAAGTCTTGCATAAAAATTGTTGCAGCTTAAGTGATTGGATGAGTGAAGATTAAGAATAAATTAAAGAAATGAAAATGAATGACATATTATTCACCTAGCAACATTACAACAATTTGTGTAGATGAGTTTGTATGTGCAAAATAACTCTCCTCAAAACTATTGTAGATTATTTGTAATGACACCAAACTTTTTGGGAGATTAGTAGAAAATTTTCAACTTCATTTAAAACCTCACTAGAATTTTTTGAAATTCATCAAAAACTTGGTTTGGTTTTATCAAATTTTATTGGCATATTTTGGAACTAAAAGAACACCTTAGTCTGCCTCTATTTTGTTAACGTCAGGATATGAGCTTTTCTAGTTCAGTTATTTGCTTTAGATGCTATCTTAAATATAGGTCTATTGAGGCTTATTGAAATTGTTTTGATAATATAGGAGAAGAAGGATATCAAGAGGACATTGGAGGAGGAAGCAAGGAGGTGTCAGTGGCTAGTTTTATGGCTTGATTGTGATAGAGAAGGAGAAAACATAGCATTTGAGGTGATTGATGTTTGTAGAGCGGTGAATTCTCATCTTGTTATACGAAGGGCTCGGTTCTCTGCATTGATTGACAGGTTTTTAAGGCCGAACTTCTTTGTCACCACTTCTGGATTGTTTCTAAGTTCAGATTTTTATGATTTTTGGTTTTGTAAATTCCAGGGAAATCCATCAGGCAGTGCAGAATCTTGTTGATCCTAATGAGTGGTTTTCTGATGCTGTGGATGCTAGGCAAGTGAGTTCCTTTACTCATACACGAAGAAGTTTTTTTATAATTTTCAAACTAGACCATGAAAAAGTTCTACGCCAAGTGGAAGTTGATGCATTGAACAAATTAAAAATAAAATTTCAATATATGCATGCATGTAAACATTTATTTATTAATTTTTACCCTTTAGGTTCCTCCTCATGGATTTCTTCTGCAGTCAGTTGTTAATTTAAAGGTTGAATGTTAGACTACTATCACTGTTCATGTATTTATGTATATATTTTTATCTATTTGTATATATATTTCTTTCTTGTGAAAAGGAATATAATAAGTTTTGAAGTTTTGCAGGAAATCGATCTCCGGATTGGTGCTTCTTTTACCAGGTTTCAGACTATGCTTTTGAAAGATAAGTTTCATATTGATTCAGCTACTGGTGACAGAAATCTTGTTCTAAGTTATGGTCCTTGCCAGGTAAGATAGCTGACCACATTAAAGTACATACAACTTAAGGATCTGCTCTTTGTAGCATCAGTTGCAGTGTTTATGAAGTTTTCATTTTCGTTATATCTCGTTTACTGCAGTTTCCAACACTTGGCTTTGTTGTGGAACGCTATTGGGAGATACAATCACATGAACCGGAAGAGTTTTGGATAATCAACTGTTCTCACAGATCAGATGAAGGCACTGCTTCTTTCAGTTGGATGTAAACTCTGAATTATTCGTGCATTTCGTTCTTCCTTTTTGGTTCTAGTAGTCATAGGGATAAGAGCTAATGATATTTTAACTTTGCAGGCGTGGACATTTATTTGATTATACTAGTGCAGTCATAATTTATGAAATGTGTGTTCAGGAGCCTACTGCAACTGTTAGTCATCTTGAGATCTCATTGTTGAGAATAATGTAAATTAGAGGTATATTTTGCCCTAATATCTAACACTTATACTTCTAGCTGTCTTTTAGGTCACAAAGGTTAGACAACAGGAGAAGTTGAAGTATCCTCCATACCCTTTGAGTACCATTGAACTAGAGAAACGTGCTTCGCGATACTTTCGGATGAGTTCTGAACATACCATGAAGGTGGGACTCAATGTTTATCTCATAATATTTGTGCTTGTGTTTGATCACTCTGCTATTTCTTTAGAGTTGGTCCTATCTAAATGTGTCTCATGATTAACCCAATAATTTGCACTTTTAAATGCTTTGAAGTTGTGCTGGAAAAATAAAAAATGAAGCTGTTGATAGCATCGAACTTAAAAATTGAAGTGCCATGTTCTTTTTTAGTGGGTTGTGAAATTTGATATGTGCTTTAGTTCAGTAGTAAAAGTGGAGTACAAAAATTTTCACTTACGTTTTAAGGAAAATCCATAAAAACATGTGTATACAGTTTTTCTTCTGCAATGTCTATCCTATGTATTGTAAAGAAAAATATCCATTATCAGACCTGTTCAAGTCTTCTTATTTTAGCAATCAGAGTTGGGAATATGTAGTCTTTATTTTAGGCTTTATGACAGATAGTTCCCTCTGTCATAGTTCTTTCCTTGTGCTTCTTGTTCCCCCTTTCTTTAGAGCCTAAAGAGACATATGTGCGAAAGCAATTAAAGAGCTGTACTGTATACAAATAAAATTATTATAGAGGGCTCTCCTTATGCCTGCAAAAGTTTGTATGTTTCTTACAGTCATGGAATTTACTCTCTCTTTTTATGCTCTGTATAACTTTGTTTTCAGTTGGTTTTTGCATTGGATATTGATTTTATGTCTTACGCTTGAAACACACCTTTTCATTTTCTGTATAAATTTTCATTGTTTATAGGTGGCCGAAGATTTATATCAAGCTGGTTTTATCAGCTATCCTCGTACAGAGACGGACAGCTTTTCTAGTAGGACTGATTTGCATGTTGGTAACTCTATCTCCTGTTTTTAGCATATTGCATGTTTCTGCTTCTGATTATTATCTTATAATATTATATCATAAATTGGACTGTAATGAATTGAGGGAAATAAACATTGGTGTTAGTTAATTACTAGTTAATAGAATCAAACTTAATTTTTTTGTTAAAACATAAAGAAAATGGAAAAGAAAGGATTAAGATGAAAAAAACTTGTATGTGCTAGCAGTGAGTCGTAATGCAAAGAAAATTTGTACAAATAGATTGTTTAAGATTTTTTGGAGACCACTGTGTATACCAAAAGATTTATTTATTTATTTTCTATATATATGCAACCATATGTTGATAGACCTCCAATCACTCATTGATATTTGAAGAAGAAGAGAAAGGGCCAGTAGATGCCAATCTAGCAGTGGGAATTAGTTAGGAAATGCTAGGCCACGTGGCAGGATCTAGAGAATCATTAGAGTGGGAACAAAATGTGTATTTAGTTAGCCAAAAACCATGTTTAGTGCGAAGTTGTTCTTTGGGAATAGTTTTGGGAGGCCTCTAGCACCTCGAATTGCTAGAAACCTTTTTACTTTTACGCTTCCATTTCATTTCAGTCTTTTTTTCCTAAGTTTGCCTACTGTTTTGCTTTTGTATTTCTCTTTTGATCAATATACTCTCTATTTCTTAAGGCTGATTGTGTTTTGTGAGCTGTTTGGTTGTTGGATAATCTGTTAGTGAGTAGATTCTTATCAAATTGGTATTAGAGCCAAGGTTGGGGAATGGTAAAAACGAAAATGGAGAATAGAATGGAAAGCTTATAAAAAAAAATGAGTACGGTTAAAGAAGATTTGAGTACGGTGAAGGAAAATTTGGGTAGTGTTAAGGAATATTTGATAGAATTGCGAGAGTTAATGCGGTTGAAAGAAGAAAGGGATGAGAGACGAAGTCGTGAGAAGGAGAAATCAATGTCATTGGAGAATACCAACAATAACGACAGTGAGGAGACAGATCGATCTATGATTAACGATACAGGGAAGGAGGATAAAAAAACTTGAGTTACCAATTTTCAGTGGAGACGACCCTTATGGATGGACCTTTAGGGCAGATCGATATTTTAGTATCAATCGGTATGAAGAAGCAAAGATGGTAGAAACGGCTGTCGTGTGTATGAAGGGAAAGGCGCTAAATTGGTACCAATGGGTTGAATTCTGATCACCAATCCAATCTTGGAGGGCTTTTAAGTTGGCCTTAATCACCAGATTCCAGTTGTCTTTACAGGGGTTTGCTTATGATGCGCTAGTGGCTTTGAAACAAACAACCACTGTGACGGAATTCTGGGAGCAGTTTGAGGCACATGCTACTCCTTTGCGTGAGATAGGAGAGGGGTTACTCATAGGGATTTTTACTAATGGGCTTAAGGAGGAAATTTGGGTTGAATTGCAGTTAACAAAGCCTAACAACCTGTTTGAAATTATGGAGCAGGCCCATAGGATTGAGGAGAGGAATTGGGTTATTGATAAGGCAAAGCTCAGGTTCAATAAGGCTCAAGGTGGGCGAGTGGAAAGTTACTCAAGGGTAACTCTTAGCCTAGAAATTGTGTGCCCAGGTTGGTGGCCCAATACGGTGAAGAATCCAGAACAAACTCCTTCTTTGCCAAATCCCTCGTTTGACAGAAGAGAGAAATTGACAGAGCCGACGCATCGAGTTATAGGGGCGATAATTTCCGTCGATTATTTGAGTTGGAATTATAGTTTAAGAGAGAGAGGTTTGTGTTTGCGATGTATCGAGAAATTTGGCCCAAATCACAAGTGCCGGAGTAAATCGCTACAAATACTTTTAGCAATGGATGATGATGATGAACCAGAGAAAGAAGTGACCAATCCAGACCTAGAGGAGGAGCCAAATGTGGAAGGTAACTCCTTAGAATTGTCTATGAATTCAATTTTGGGGATTTCTTCCAACAAAACTTTGAAAGTTAAAGGGAGAATTGGGGTGGGATCGGTGATTGTGTTGGTGGATAGTGGGGTAACCCAAAATTTCATTTCGCACAAATTAGTGCACAAGATGAGATTGGAGGTAGACCAGGGTAGGTCGTTCGGTGTGATGGTGGGAAATGATGTTACTGTGAGGGGAAAATGAGTCTGTAAGGGTGTTCAATTAGAGATATGGGGGTCAAAATTAATCAAGAATTTTTCCCATTTGATCTAGGGGGAGTTGATGTAGTTTTAGGAATTACTTGGTTGAGTTCCTCGGGAGATGTTTGTGCCAATTGGAGGAATTTGACGATGAAATTTGAGGTGGAGGGAAAAAGGGTGGTAATATAGGGAGATCCCACTTTAGTTAAGACAGTGGTGTCTCTCCAGGCTATGTTGCAATCGATACAAACTGCGAGGGCTTGGTATTTGGTAGAATTTTGTTCCATAGAGTGTAAACCAGAGCAGGAGGGTGAGCCAATGGATTTTAAGGTGGCAAAAGTGTTGAATGAATATAAGCACCTATTTGATCAGCCTATTAGATTACCACCTCAAAGGCAAAGTGATCATGCAATAGTCCTCCGATAGGGAACCCAACCTCCAAATATAAGACCATAAAGGTATTCGTATTTCTGAAAGAATGAAAGTGAGAAATTGGTGGGTGAGACGTTGGTGGCTGGAATTATCCAGCCCAGTACTAGTCCTTTTGCTAGTCCAGTTTTGTTGGTTAGGAAGAAAGATGAGAGTTGGAGATTTTGCGTTGATTATAGGGCACTTAACAATATCACTATTCTTGATAAATTTCCCATACCCACAATTGAGGAGTTACTAGATGAATTGGTAGGGGCCACCATTTTCTCCAAGTTGGATTTAAAATTTGGTTATCACTAGATTCGAGTAAAGGAAGAGGATGTCTCAAAAACCGCATTTAGAACTCATGAGGGCCATTATGAGTTCTTGGTTATGTCATTTAGCTCGACCAATGCACCATCAACCTTCCAATCCTTGAACACAATTTTCAAACCTTTCCTAAGAAAATTTGTGTTAGTCTTTTTTGATGATATTCTGATCTTTAGCCTAGATTTAGACTCCTATTTAGTTCACCTCAGCCAAGTATTCAAAGTTCTATTGGAAAATGTGTTGGTGGTAAACCAGGAAAAGTGCCTCTTTGGCCAACGGAAACTAGAGTATTTAGGGCACCAAATGTCGGAAAAAGGAGTGGAAGCTGATCCACAGAAGGTGGAATCAATGGTATCTTGGCATGTCCCCGATAGTGTGAACAATTTGAGGGGTTTTTTGGGTCTTACAGGATACTATCGTTGTTTTGTAAAGGATTATGGAACTATTGCTCAACCCTTGTCTCAACTGCTGAAAAAGTCCTTCGGGTGGAATGAAGAAGCACAACAAGCTTTTGAAATGCTTAAGACAGCCATGACTACAGTCCCTGTTTTGGCAGCCCCAAACTTTAATGATTCCTTCGAAGTTCAAACTGATGCCTCTGGCTATGGCATAGGGGCTGTTTTGGTCCAACAATCTAGATCTATTGCTTTCATAAGCAAGGCTTTAATTGGTGTACGAAAGGGAACTCATGGCTATAGTCTTTGCAGTACACAACTGGAGTCACTACCTTTTGGGAAGGAAGTTTGTTATCAAAACCAATCAAAGGAGTCTTTAATTTCTCACAGACCAGAGGGTTAAAACTCCTGAACAGCAGAAATGGATTGCAAAACTAATGGGTTATTCCTTTGAAATCCATTACTACCGTGGAAGTACTAATCGGGTAACTGATGCATTATCCAGAAGAGAAGATATAACAGCCTTGGATGCTATGTTAGTGGTGCACTTTTCAGATTATGATGACCTGGTTGCTGAAGCTCAACAAGGCCCCAAACTGCAACTCATCATCCAGGATGTGTTGTTGATTCTTGACAGCAAACTACACTATAAACTTCGTCATGGGTGCTTGTTATACAAAAATAGGTTGGTTCTACCTAAAGCTTCTCAGTTTATCTCCAAACTTCTAGAGGAATTTTATTGCAGTCTTTATGGAGGGCATTCAGGGTTCTTTAGGACTTATAAAAAGGTTTCTAATGTGGCCTTTTGGGAGGGCATCAAAAAGGAAGTCCAGATTTTTGTTAAAGCTTGTACCACTTGCCAACTTAATAAACACTCATCGTTAAAACCTGTTGGCCTCCTCCAACCATTACCTATCCCTACCCAAGTATTTGAAGACTTAACCATGGACTTCATTAGGGGTCTACCAAGAGCTAAGGGCCATGACACCATCTTAGTTGTGGTTGATGGGCTTACAAAGTTCAGCCACTTCATCATGTTATCCCACCCTTACACTGCCAAGGATGTAGCTTCAGTGTGAAGGAAAGTGTCAAGCTCCATGGATTCCCTCAATCCATAGTGACCGATAGCGATAGGGTTTTCATGAACTAGTTTTGGCAAGAGATCTTTAAGGCTGCAGGCACCACTTTGCAGTTTAGCTCAGCTTATCACCCTCAAACTGTTGGCCAAATGGAGGTGGTTAATAGGTGCCTGAAAACCTATTTGAGATGCTTCTGTAGTTCCCAACCAAGGCAGTGGCCTTGCTGCCTGTCTTGGGCAGAATTTTGGTATAATACCACCTACCATAGCTCCACAAAGATGACTCCATTTAAGGTTTTGTATGGCCGTGACCCTCCACTTCTACTCAAACTGACAGATTATCCCTCACCAGTAGAAGATGTCAACGGCAAGATGTTGGAAAGAAACTCTATCCTTGATGAGCGCAAGCAAAACTTGACAGTTGCTCAAGGCCACTTGAAAGAACATGCAGATTCACATAGAAGGGATGTCAGTCTACAACCAGGTGATTCTGTGTTTCTCAAACTACAACCTTACAAGTTCAAATCATTGGCCAAGAAGCAGAATGAAAAACTCAGTCCCAGGTTCTAAGGCCCTTTTATTGTTCTGGAAAAGATTGGTCAAGTTGCTTATAAATTGGCACTTCCATCTTCCACTTGCATTCATCTTGTTTTCCACATCTCTCAACTTAAGAAAAGTTTGCACAGTTTAGTTCCCATCCAGTCGCTGCTGCCCTTCCTCACCGAAGACTTGGAACTCCAAGTACAACTAGTTACAGTCCTCTCTGTCTGTAATTTACTGGATGGTTCCAAAGAAGTACTCATTCAATGGAAAGACTTTCCTCTCTTTGAGGCCACATGGGAGTTCTATGATGTGATTTACAATAGGCCCCTCTTTTCCACTTTGAGGACAAGGTGGCTCATAGATATTTGAAGAAGAAGAGAAAGGGCCAGCAGATGCCAATCGAGCAGTGGGAATTAGTTAGGAAATGCTAGGCCACGTGGTAGGATCTAGAGAATCATTGGAGTGGGGACAAAAGGTGTATTTAGTTGGACAGAAACCATGTTTACTGCAAAGTTGTTATTTGGGAATAGTTTTGGGAGGTCTCTAGCACCTCGAATTGCTAGAAACCTTTTTACTTTTACGCATCTATTTCATTTCAGTCTTGTCTTCTTAAGTTTGCCTATTGTTTTGCTTCTGTATTTCTCCTTTGATAAATATACTCTCATTTCTTAAGTTGATTGTGTTTTGTGAGCTGTTTGGTTGTTGGATAATCTATTAGTGAGCAGGTTCCTATCATATGTATACTAAGATCTCAATGCTTTGACACTCTTATAGCAGAAGGCACAATAAATTTAAACTTGTATCTGTAAACATTGGGTAGGATTACGAAGAAGTTATAGCGAGAATATAGAAGTTATAGTGAGAATATATATACAGATCTTATTTAGGTACCTACCTATTCCAAAAGATTTAGTTCTATATTTTCTATTTATATGCAACCATGTGTGGAATAAGATCTTAATGCTGTGCTGCTCTTGCTGAAATGATAATTAAAGCACTGAGGATTGAAACCTTCGTATGATGTGTAGTTTGTTAAGAATTATGTCTGCTTACAGATATCAGTTGTTTTTAAACTGCTTGGACCTGTATTCTTTCAACGAGATGTGTCAGTGCCTTTGACAATGAAAATGCTAATCATAAGATCAATGTGAAGTATCTTGTTGTTACTGAGATGAGCTCTCTAGTCCCTTTATCTTAGCATTCTCTAACATTATTTGCCTCATGTTTTGTGCTCATGTGTGAACGTGATATTTCTTAAAGGAAGTTTCTACTCATGCCTTCGGACAAGATGGGGGAGCAAATCTGTCAGTTTTGTTTGCTGCTTTTTTTTTTCCCCTTCCCTTTCCTGATATTGTAAGGATTTTATAGTAGAGCACTATCTTAGAGGATTAAGAGTAATTCCTTGGGATCACCCTTACCCCAACTCCAACTTTCCTATGGACAAATGATTGGGAGAAAGGGTTTAAGCTCCTTTGGTCCACCATTGTTCTAAAGGGTTTAGTCTCTATTGGTCCACCATTGTTCTATCTTCATACCCTACCCCCGAACCCAAATTATCTGTCATATGCTAGATTTTATGTCCCTAATACAAGTCTCTGTTTACTTATCTAGTTTATACACACACAAACACACATGAATGTAGATATATTTTAAAGGAAAAAAAAAAAAAAAAAAAAAAAATTCAGCATACAATATTAAGTTTGACTCCTTTTTGGACCCCCGTCAGTTTGATGAGTTCTTACCATCCAATTTGGATGAAGAGGTACTCACCTAATAGTTCTTCTCCTAACTAAGTTAATGATGCTAAGTTGATTTTTCTTCCAAAGTATGGCTAATTTACTCTGGACCTATTTAGAGCCCTGTTAAAGCTTTTTTTTTTTCAAACCTTTTCTTCTATTTTTAATTAAATGTCAGCATATCAATAATTTTTTTTTTACTCTCTGTTTCTTGTAATCCCTTAACATTATAGAATCTTTAGTGTAATGTTGTATATGCTCCTTTATTGGCTGTTATTCTTTACATGAGTTGTTTTAATTTTCTTTCGATCAAATAATTAGGATTTAGGATTTTGATTTTACGTAGACAATTGTGCAAGAACAACAAGGGCATCCTGTGTGGGGATCATATGCTCAACGCTTGTTGGACCCTGAGGCAGGTCTGTGGAGAAATCCTGGTAGTGGTGGACATGATGACAAGGCCCATCCACCCATTCACCCAACAAAATTTTCTGCTGGGGAATCTGGATGGAGTCAAGATCACCATGTAAGCAAACTGTCGTCATTAGTTATTGATTGTCTGATCCTGATACTTAGATTTTGTCCTAATACAAAATACCTTTTTCTCATTTTTATCATTTTAATCAAATATCTAATAACTTTCAGTTTGTCTCAGAGATTGTATGAGTTGGTTGTTCGCCATTTTCTGGCTTGTGTATCACAGCCAGCTGTGGGGGCTGAAACTATTGTTGAAATAGATATTGCTGGTGAGCAATTTTCTGCATGCGGGAGAATGATATTAGCTGTGAGTTTTTTTCTTTCCATTAATAACTCTTTTTTTTTTTTTTTTTTCCTATGAAAATTGGTTATTTTAGGAAATCCTTCATTGATTAAAATTTTGCATTTTACTATATTCTTGTCTCGTGGAGATGAGCTCTAAAAGGACAACCCGGTGTATATTTTGGAGATTTTTGTATCGAAAGTCAAAACCCTAGGAAGCAAATTTTTGTCATTAGCTAAAAGAATTGGTTGTGCTGTTTGAGATTGGCTGATGAAGTATTTGGTATTACCTTTTGGGGTTAATCCTAGATCTTTAAGCTTTTGGGATTCTCTTGTGGAAAAAGTATGCAAAACACTTGAACTGTGGAAGAGTGCTTTTTATATTGTGGGATACGCTTACTTTAATTCTAACGGTTTTTTTAGTAAAAACAAAACAGCCTATATCCTCTGTGTTTAGAGTTTTGTGTAAGTTTGGCACTAAAATTGGAAAATCTATGAGGAATTTTCATGGGAAGGTTTTTGAAAAGAGAAGGGTATCTATTTTATGAAGTGGAAGATTTTCTCTAGCAGTAGGGGGAAGGGAGACGCCAGTATTGTAAATGCTCTTGATTAGGAGAGTGGCTTTAGATATTCTTGTTGGAGAGAATCCCTTTTATGGAATGTTGTCATTAAAAATAAATATAGCATTCAAATACAATGATTGACATTTGAGTGTAGCTTCTAATGGCTCTAGTTGAAACCCCGGGAAATCTAATGTATCCTATTGCACGCATATAAATCTGAAGTTGGAAATGGGAGAGAATTCAGTTGGGACAGTCCTTTGTGCACTTTGTTCTCTTGTCTCCAATTTTATTGTCTGGTAGTCATAACATTTCTTTCAGGAGTTGGATAATTTTTACCTTATTTTTCTAGGAATGGTATTGAACTTAGGAGGAATTTGAATGAGAAATCCAAGAATTCCCAGCTCTTTTGGCCTTTGTGCAAATTGTTTCTACCAATGAATTGAGAGAGGATTTGAGACAGTGGTTACCGTGTGTTCAGTCATCGTCTCCTGCAAGGACAGAGACAAAGAGAGATTATCGTAGTTATAGTTGGGATCATACTGTTAAAAGTTTTGAATACCTTCAAATCTATCAATTTGTTTGTGCTAAGCTGTGAGTCAAGGTGGTAAATTGAAGGTCATTTTCCTCCACCTCCATCATGCTGACAAATAAGATTTATTCAGGATTAGCTCATTTGAGTTATTGTGTGTAACACAAACTGATGGCAATGGAATATCAAACTTGGTACTCTCAAAAGTTGTATTGTAACACAAGATAATAAGTTATATTGTACCATGGTGGAATTCTATTCTTCTCTATACACGTCCTCTGGAAACAGAACTGTAATTCACTATCCGTGATCATCTGGATTATTGATTTACAGGAAGTCATATCATCTATGAACCTTGTACTTTTGATGGATGAGAAGTTGCAGAAGATGGTCAAACTGAAAATTGAATAAACAACTACAATGGGCTCTCCAAATTTTCATTCTCAATTTTCTTGAGTGCCTTTTACATTATTCAAAAATGATTATTCCAGTATTTTTGCTATGATTGTTGGGGTGTGGCCATGTTGCATTTGGCATTAAAAAGTTTTTCTTATCTGTGGAGAAGCATTTTGATTTTTGTTCTTTTATAAGAGAATTGACTTAAATACTTTTTTTTTTGATCAGAAAAATTACTTAGATGTTTATCGCTTTGAATCATGGGGAGGTTCAATGATCCCGGCTTATGCCCATGGACAACAGGTTTGCTCTTCTTTTTCTAATAACTAACAACTGATTTGCTATGGATCATTTTGCAACATGAGCTGTAATTAATTTTTCAGTTGGAATTCTTTTTTTAAATATGTTTCTTTTAGATGAGCTTTGTTTTGTCTCTTATTTCATATCCATAAGATATTATGTTTACAAGATTTACTATGGACTAACTGTTATAGGGTCCTTTCAGCTGGCTCTTAAAATGTCACAATTTAGTTAACTTTATCCTTGAACTGCTTCATTGAGTAGTAAAACAGGTCATCCAGTTTGTCAAATACATGATTAAATTGCTGAGATTAGAGTTCTACAAATTTATTTGTAACTTGCATTGGGGTATGAAAAAAGTTTTGTTATATATGGACAATTGTCATTGTGAATAGGAGCATAGTGATGACAGTCATACAAGGGGAAAGGGGATACAGCTTGTGACTACAGATCATTGTTACCCACCAGGAAAATTTGCTTAAGTTTGCTAGTAAAAATGGTGTCCATGGCCATCTTTGTTTGTGTTTATTTTCATTCAATCTCCTTTTGAAGAATGTCGAAATCTTATTTCTTCCTTGAATCTTTTCCACTATCATCATCTTTTAATTTTATCAATCATATGGCATGTAAGTATGCTAATAGAATGTGCTAAATTTTTGGTCTGTATTATGGCATAATGTAACTTCAAATTTGTTGTAGGACATTGAATAAAAGAAGGTTAAAAAAATAGATGAGAAAGAAAAAAGTGAGGAAAGATCATAGAAGGGCAATGGGTAGAAACTAGAATAGAGAGATAAAGGGTAAAACAATTAGAAGTAGGAAAATAGAATATGAAAAAAAAAAAAAAGCAGAGAAGAGAGGAGGCATAGAAAGAGAAGAAATTAAAGAGAGAGGAAAGATAGGAAAGAAAAGAGAGAAAGATAATAGAGACCAAGGTTTAATTATTCTTATCCATTCATATTTCAGCATTTAAAAAAAAAAAAAAAAAAAAATACTTGAAGGCCTTTTTGGTTTGATCTAACAGAAACCTAATATAGATAAATCTTATCAAATAACATGCTGATGAAATTTACCAAATAAGATGAACTAAAATTAAGTAACATAAACTAAAACCAAAAAGTAACTTAATCATATTTAATAGATATTTCCTAATATATTAAAATAGCACTTCTTGGTTCTGCATCGGGTTTAATGTTTAAATATATTTTATGCACTTAGCAAGAGTATTTCATCTTTTAATTGTGGTGCAGTACAACATTTTACTGTAACAAGCTTGGTGTTCTGAACATTTGGGTTAAGCATTTGCCTTTTTGTTGAATCTACTTTAAAATTAGAAGACTAGTTAATTTTTTTACTGTATATGTCAATGTTACAGTTCATCCCAACAACATTGACTCTTGATTCAGGAGTCACTAGACCACCGCCTCTTTTAAGTGAAGCTGATTTACTAAGTTGTATGGACAAGGTGAGCAGATTGGTACACTGATCTGGTTTTAGATTAATTCTTTTATTGCTCTCTAAGGCTGTAATATTGATTTATTATTTTGTTATCAGGCGGGCATTGGAACAGATGCGACAATGCATGATCACATAAAGAAGCTGCTTGATAGGTTTTATGCAACAAAGGATGCAAATACACGCTTCTCACCAACTAATCTTGTAACTGATTTGGCTTGAACTCTTTGTGATATTTTTTTGCTTTCTTATATGTGTTCTCCTTATGATCATGGGCTCTGCTTCCTATGATCATGAGGAAAAGAATAACATGGTAGGTTAGAAGTAAAAAATGGGGTAAAACTGGATAAATGAAAACCATAAACACCTTAAGAGTAGCTTATCTTTGTAGATGCACTCAATTTGATTACTTGTTTTATTCTAGAGTGGGAATTAATAAATTTATTTAATTGCCATGTGAAATCAGGAAGAAAACACATGATAATTTTAATTATTGTATTCTACACTTGCATAGGTTACAACAGTCTAGTTATATAAACTTTATTAGGATATTCTGATAACTCTTAGGTCTAGGATTAGCTTTTATTCAAATAGCTAAAGTTAAGATAAATCCTAAGTTTAAAAAACCCTTACTATCCTTATCAAGAACTTCTACACTCCTCAAGCTGATGAGAAAATATTTAGCATTCCTAACATAGAAACTAGATTGTCAAAACTTTGTGTAGACAATCCTTTTGTAAGAATGTTCGCAGTTTGTTGGCTAGTAGGTAGATAGATAACACACAACAACTTGTCCTCAATCCTCTCTTTAATAAAGTGCCTATCAATTTCCACATGCTTAGTTTTATTGTGATGTATTGGATTATGTGCAATTCCAATCGCAGCCTTGTTATCACAGTAGAGCCTTATAGGATCTTCACTATTGATTTTTAGTTCTGCCAAGAGTCCTTTTAACCATATTAGCTCACACATACCTTGTGTCGTTGCTCGAAATTCAGCTTTTGCACTGCTCCTTACAACCACAGTTTGCTTCTTGCTTCTCCAAGTCATCAAATTTCCCTAAACGAAGGTACAATACCCTAAAGTTGACCTTCTATCACTCATTGAACCTGCCAGTTTGCATCCGTGAATGCCTCCACCTTTCTTTCATTAGTTTTCCCAAAAAATAGTCCTTTCCCAGGTGTCATCTTCAGGTACCTTAAGATTCTATTTACAGCTTCAAAATGCTTCTCCTGTGGGTTGTGCATGTGTTGGCTTACCACACTTACAAAGTAGGCAATGCCAGGCCTTGTATGAGCCAAGTATATTAGCCTCCCAACCAGTCTTTGATACCTGCCTTTTTCAACTAGTGTATCTTCACTGTCCTAGTCAAACTTCACATTTGGCTCAATAGGGTCTCAGCAGGCCTACACCCTAACATTCCAGTATCTTTTAAAGAGATTCCTTTCTTACTCCTGGCAACCTCTATTCCTATAAAATATCTCAACTGCCCTAGATCCTTTATCTGAAACTCCTTGGCAAGAACCTTTTTTACCATTTCCATTTCTTCTAGATTGTTTCCTGTAAGAATAATATCATCTACATATATTATTAAGACAATAATCTTACCCCTATTATTCTTGAAAAACAAAGTATGATTCGTTTGACCTTGTGTGAACCCATAACTTCTAATAGCCTTGGTAAATTTTTCAAACTAGGTCCTAGGAGACTATTTTGAGCCATACAAGGATTTCTTTAGCTTACAAACCTTCCTCCATATCTAATTACCTTCTAAACCTGGTGGCAACTCCATATACACCTTTTCTGCTAGGTCACTATTCAAGAAAACATACTTTACACCCAGCTGTTACAAGGGCCAGTCTAAGTTTGCAGCTAGGGAAAGGAGAACTCGAATAGTTTTCAACTTGGCTATGGGGGCAAAGGTTTCCTGGTAATCTACTCCATAGGTCTATGTGAATCCCTTAGCTACCAACCTTGTCTTGTATCTCTCAACTGAACCATCTGTCTTATATTTTAATGTAAACACCCATTTACAACCCACAGTAGTCTTCCTCTCAGGTAAGCTCACCAATTCTCATGTCCCCTTTTTTTCAAGGGCCTTCATCTCTTCCATTACAATTTCTCTCCATTTAGGATCATCCAATGCTTCTTGTATTGACTTAAGAGCCTCTATGGTTGAGAGATTAGTAGCAACCACTCGAAAATCAGTAGATAGATTGTCATAAGACACAAAATGAGAAATAGGATGTAGAGTATAAGACCTAACCCTTTTCCAAAGAACTATAGGAAGATCAACATTTGACTCAAACTCACTAGGAGGCAAAATTTTCTCACCTGAAGGCTGTGATTCATTGACTTCTTTCTGTTAGGATGACTGGCCATGCCGATCGTTAGAAGGATTCTCACTATCTTGATAACCAGGTTTCCGAGAATAAACTTTGGGGTCTGGTTGATTTAGCCTCGTCAAACCTCCCCTTATCTTCATATGTTTTTGAGTCAAAAGTGTCAAAATTCTATTCTGCTGTAGGGTTTTCAAGATTTTCTGTTTTGATGGAATTAGGATTGATGGAATTATGACTAGTAAGAGGCTGGATTTGAGTTAAAGGTGAGTTTTGATTCAAAGGTCTTATAGTGGATGTGGGATTTTGACTTTTCGGAAATGTTATTTCCTAAACACTATCTTCATTATCAATCTGTGAGTTCTCCCCCCGAAGAGAGGATTTGGGAAAACAAGGCTGTGGCTAAAAAAAATCACATCTTTAGAGACAAACAATTTCTTCCTTATAAGGCAGTAACACTTATATCCTTGGTGAGTGGGAGAGTACCCTACAAACACACACTTAATGGCCCTAGGATCTAACTTGCCTCTGTTATGAGAGTGAACATGAACAAAGGCAGTACATCCAAAGACTTTCAAAGGCAGAGAGTTTAAGGCTCTAAAATCAGGAAATGTCTGAAGAAATGTGGAGAGAGGAGTGCGAAACTCTAAAATCTTAGTAGCCAATCGATTTACCAAATAAGTTGCTGTTAGGATTGCCTCCCCCCACAAATAATTAGGCAGGTTCATGGTGAACATAAGTGCTCGGGCAACCTTTAAAAGGTACCTATTTTTCTTTCCACAATACTTTTCTGCTGTGGATATCTGCACAAGAACTTTGGTGTATTATTCCATGTCTGAGCAGATAGTTTCCTAGGCTAGAATGGAAGTACTCCCTACCATTATTTGTTCTTAGAACTTGAATATGTGTGAAACTGATTCTTAACCATGGAATGGAAATTCTTGAAGACTCTGCCTATTTCAAATTTTTCTTTCATAAGATAAACCCAACATAGTCTAGTGTAATCATCAATGAAAGTAATAAACCATTTTGATCAAACAATATTTTTAACTCTAGATGGTCCCCAAATATCACTATGAATTATAGAAAATGGCCTTGAACTCTTGTTTTGATTAATTGGAAACATTGATCTGGTATGTTTTGTAATTTGGTAGATTTCACACTCAAATAATATTGGATTTTTATTTCTGAATAACACCGGAAACAATCTTTGTAAATAAGGGAAACTAGGGTGACCTAATCGGTGATGCCACAACATTATTTCTGAATTACCAGACATAGAAACATAATTACACCTAGATGTTATAGCTTGATTATTCTCAAAATCCTTGGCATCAAAATAGTTGAGTCCTCCTTCTCTAGCATTGCCAATCATCCTGCCTGAGAGAAGGTCTTGAAATTCACAATGAGAAGAAGAAAAATTAACCACATAGTTTAAGTCCTTAGTCAATTTGCTAATAAAGAGGAGATTACAAGCTAGACTAGGCACATGAAGGACAGATTGTAGACAAAGATTATCATACAGTTTGGCAATCCCTTTACCAACTACTTTTGATAAAGAACCATGTTGAGAACCTGGATCCTCAACGCTACTCAATCCACTGACTGTAATTCAGTATTCACGCAATAATGCTCAACTCCAAACAGCAATGAATATAATAAAAGATCAAAGAAGATTATACTGTATTGAAAGATTGAAATGGAAATTACAATATAAAAGGTGCAGAACAACCAGTGCAGTAAATAAAAGATATCTAGCTCTTCGAGGGGCTAGTTCCTCCCAATTCATACTCAAAGTTTTTATATGCTTTTACAATTGAAATCCCACAATATATATTTCCCCAACGTCACACCCAAAGCATGCTTCTTGCCACGTGGATAACTAACTCCCCTTTTTGCGCATCAGCTGAATTGCCTTCACTCTCCTTTTGTACGTGTGAGAAACAGGGGTCGTATCAAACCATTAGCTATTCTAACCCTTAGATTACCATAACATGGGCTGTAGGATACAAACACAATTGAGTTACCTGACATTAGATTCGAGGCCCCTGAATCTATAACCCAAGAATTGGTTGTTCCTACACTGGTATGCCAAGCTGTGAGGGAATTACTAGTTTCAGCAAATGAATAGGAGCGATTAGAGGAACCAGAATTGGACTGATTGAATAATTCTTGTAAATGTTCCAACTGTTCTTTGCTGAATGGTACAGACCTTGGATGATCTCCATATTCTTCTATCCTAGCATGAAATCCCTTGTCGCCAGCCTTATTAATCTTTTAATTGGTTGGCCTGCCATGTAGTTTCCAGCAGGTAGCCTTGATATGCTTTTGCCGATGACAATACTCACATCAGATTTTTCTTTTTCTCCTCTTTTTTGCATCCTCTGCTCTCCATCAGACCTGGTATGATTGTCCCAACCTTTTGAAACCAAAGCTGAAGACTCTGATAGTGTGCTTAAACTGTTGGATCCTATTGATTCACCCATCATCACTGTCCTCGTACTTTATTCTCTTCTAACCTCTACAAATACTTCTCTTATAAAAGGTAGAGATTCTTCTTCCAAGACCCTACCCCTTACTTCATCTTGTTCCTTATTCAAACCTACAAGGAACTCAAACACCCTCTCATTTTCTAACATTTTTGTGTATTTGACAGTATCTTTAGAACAACTCCAGTCTGCTTCAAAGAACAAGACCAGCTTCTGCCACAATTTAGCCAAAACGCTATAGTATTGAGTTACATCATGTTCCCTTTGGTCTCTCTCAACCGAGACTTCAACTCAAATATTTGTGTTGAGTTCCCCACATCAGAGTATGTTTCCTTTGCAACTTCCCAAATATCCTTTGCAGTGGGAAGAAACAGGTATAGTTGACCAATCTCCT